CAAACAACAACAACAACAACAAAAAAAATCTAAGCAACTGTTTTAAATGGAGGTCTCTATCTGTATTGCAAAACATTTTAGCTGTAATACAGCTTTTTAGAAGCCTGGTTTCAGAGTCAGAGCCTCATCTGAAAAAAGTGAGGAGTTCAGAGTATCAAGTGCTCAGACAACATGCAAAGTGCAATATGAAAGTATGATTGTACTGGTATGGTTGAACCACATGTGGTAATGAAACATACATTAATATAATTTTATCCTACAAAAAGTGATATTAAAAACTTTACCAGTACTTTAAAAGATACATGACCAAGAAAGCATGATAAGGCTCAAACTAGAATAATTCTTTTTTTACAGGTGTAGAGCAAGTTGGATTTTATATATAATTGATTTCAAATGAAAGTTCAAGCGTCACATTGCAAGATCTGCACCTAAGATAAAGGTACTTTTGCTAAGATCTGGGTAATCCTTTCTGTTTGTACTGGTTTTGATTGGGGTAGAGTTAATTTTCTTAATAGTAGCTGGCATGGAGTTATGTTTTGGATTTGTGTTGGAAATGGTGTTGATAACACAGGTATGTTTTAGCTGTTTCTGAGCAGCCTTTACACAGAGACCCAAGGGCTTTTTCTGCTCCTCAGGGCACCCCATCAGTGAGGAGGCTAGGGGTGCAGAAGCAGCTGAGAGGAGGCAAAACCAGGACAGCTGATCACAGCTGAGCAGAGGGACAGTCCCTACAATATGGCACTCAGCATATAAATTTAAGTGAATAAAGAGGAAAGGAGTGATGGAGTTTGCCTCCCCAAGTCACCAAGACTCAGGGCAAGCAGGTGTTCTGTTCAGCCACCTCCAGGAAAGCCAGGCTCCAATCACATGTCTCAGTGACCCACTTCAGAGCAGATTCAAATGGTCTTTGTGTACTAATTTCTAACATAATCCATGAGCTGTGAATAGAGTTTATACTTTTGTCAAAGCCTGTCACAGAGCAATTTATGGCTAGAGGTGAACTTGGCAGAGTAATGGGAGCATCAAATTTAGATGCAATTAGCTCAGCAGGGAACCCATTCCACTGGGACTGCTGGCAAGAAGTGTTGCTGGCAAGCCAACAGACAAAAGTGGGGTCAGGGCAATTACACTGACAATAACTGGGGACTTCATCAGTTCTGCCAATGTTTAAATAATTTACCAAACTCAGTGACAAGAATCACCCACCAAAGTGGGGATTATGATGGAAAAGGAATTATCTACTTTTGGTGATAATTACAACATAAAAACCTCCTCAGGATTTAAGTTGGCTAGGTCTTCAAATATTTTAAAAGCTGGACTGCTAGACAAGTGAGAGACAATTTGGCAAGAACCAAGTACAAAGACAATCTGAAAAAAATTCTAATTCTCAGTAACCTTTAATAGAATCAAGGGATAATTTTGGAAATTATTAATAAGACAGTGTTTATACTACATTTAAGAAGCTCTGAAAATTTCCTAGGACAAGGACTGCAGGTACAGGTAATATTAGGACAGCTACTATAGTTGAAAAAGCCAACAATAAAATTAAAAAAACAAAAACAAAGACAAAAAATAGAAACTGATGGAATATATATTAATATTGATAAACTGGAGAATACTCCAAAGATCATCTCACAACACTGCAGAGCCAAAATGAGGTGATTGACCACTGATACTTGACAAGACAAAGTCTAACTCCCTTTAACAGTATTGCCTGCAATGTCAAGGAGTCTCTGAAGGAAGAAATCAAAGACTCCTTCAGATCTGGACATCTGCTTTCTCTGGCACATTGCAATCCATTGTTGTCCATCCAGCCCTTCCTAAGCCAATGAAAGGCAGGAAGCACACAAAAACAAAGAAGCAAAATAAAAACATAACACATCCTCACTTCTGTGACAGTGACATTGTTAAGATTTTGAATTATTTGTGAGAAATTAATTTCAAACGTTACACCAAGAAGATAAAATGTTTATGGGCCATAGGAATCCTACTTTAATTTCAGTTCCTAATAATCTGATGTGAAATGCTTAAGCCTACAAACAGAGAAGACAATACAGGACTCAACAGACAGAAACAGAAAGTTATAACTTGAATTTATGATCATAAAACATTAGTTGGTCTGCCTCAAGGCTTTCTTTAGGAACTTTTTTGAGTAATACTTAAACATCTTCATTTCTGCATAACAGTGTTAAAGGATAGTTACCTATGGCAAATTCATAAGGCAATTACCTTACTCTTGACAAACTAGCCACAGTTCATACCCTCCCCAGTCAAAATTCCTTCTTCTTTCACAATTGCAGCGTTACCCAGAAGCATCACAGCTCCTAGATGCCAGCAACAGGTCTGCTGCCTCTCCCAACAACACCCACAAAGCAAGAGGCCTCTTGTCATCCTCTGTCCTGGGTCAATTATCCTCATAAAGAAGCACATCAGGGCACAGTCCATTCAAATCCACACGGTTATTCCACTTGCTCAACTCAGTTTGACATTTTCCCCTTAGGAGCAGCTTAATCTTAAAGTATAAAGCAAGCACGACTGGTGATAAGTGTTTTAAGAGTTCATACACATCTACTGCAAATCTTTGTATTGTTCTCTATGCTTATTCTGAATTCTGAAATCTGGGCTCCACGAGACCAAAAATCTACTCCCTCCTATGAAAGGAGGATGACACCTCATTTGGCTAGGCATTAATTTTCTCCTGCATCTCTTGACTCATGAAATCTAATTTGGATGGCTCATTAATGAATTCAGACAGCAGGCCTAAAGCTATTGGTTGTTTCTGCACCATTTCAATTGCTCATGAAGGCATACTGTCAAAATCATTGTCTTCTCCTTAGTTAACTTTCCATTGGCTGGTAGTTAAGTCATGTTCATCTCAGAGGTGCTTTCCGTGTCTCTTTTCTAACATCCTTCCATAACAGCAGCATCTCCTGTTGCTATGGACTACTCTTATGATGAACATCTCCACCAGAGAGGGCTCACCCTCAAGGGAATAATTTTTTTCAAGGACTCTCTACAGACAGACACACAGAAGAGATTAAGTGAAGCACCCACTGATTACATCCTGTGCTTTATTTTATCCTGTTTGCCTTTTTCTTCACTAATAACCTTTCCTTCACTGATCACTGATCATTTGGTTTATCTATAGCAATAAAGTAACCTGACACAACTGATGAGCAAGGCTGCAGGTGGGGCCAGGGGAGAGGGAAAGATGCATCATTCCTGTACTGTCCTTAAAGCAGGTTTGCTCCTCCATTTTCTGTATGCTGTGGGTGCTCCATATTGTCTAAATACAAAACTACTTGACAGTGAACACCTGAAGAAAAAACAAAAATCCCTTCCTTCCTTCCTTCCTGTGCTACCCTTCAATCTACTCACAGATGGTAGAAACTGCCCACTGAACAAACAGCTGTCACTAATCTCTCTGGCCTAGACATTTCAAACAGCCCCTGCAAAAAACAGCTCAAGCATACTTCAAGCTTCCTTGTTCCCTTTCCTTATATTAAGTTCTGCTTTGCACTTTCCTTCATGCTGCTCTCTTCTTGGAAAAGCTCATGTTCTGGCTTCCCATGGGCTCCCACAAAGAAACTGTCCAGGGAACCCCAATCCTCTTTGCTGATCTGTTCCACTGCCTGGTCTATCACTGAGACTTCCAGTGAAGTTGCTCATCTTAAGAAGCTACATGCATGTAAATGCCTGTAAAGAATATCTGAACTTGCTTTTGTTAACAGGGTTGAGCAGACCCCTTAAAAATAAATCTCATCACTTAAGGTCTGCAAACCACAGCTGAAAAATAGCACTTTATGAAAACAGAGGTGTCACATACTCATCTAGCAAAGGCAGATTCAGCATGACTTCTTACAAGAGAAGGAAGATAGTCCTTCCTTTGATTAAAACAAATTAACTGCTAAAAGTCAGGGGACAGAAAACTATTTCTGAATTTAGGACAGATACAAGCTCATAGTTATAGGAAGGGGGTGCAGAAGAGTGTTCTGTGCAAGGTGAAACAAAGAGAGTTGCAAGAAATAAATAGAACCAAAGCAAAATGTTTGATTTTTTTAGGTCAAAACTGAACTCTACCAAGACAGAGGAGGTTTGTGTAGCTGAAGACAGACAGAACATTTCTACTACTCTTTTTTTTTTCTTTTTTTTTTTCCTTATTTTTTGACTCTTTGATACTGACAAATAAAAGCATTATTCTCATATTTCTCATACTAGCATTCTATCTAAAATGCTAATGCTGTTTTAAACACGGTCCCAAGTTTTTCAAAAGTCTCCACTGAAAGCCAAACCCTTGAAGAACAATATTTGCTATTAAAAAAGGACCATTCTCACTCCCTCACTCAACTTCTCCAAATGCTGTAAAACAGTATGAAAACCAAAATTATTTCATTAAAATACCTATGAATAGCTAAAACTCTTTCTACAGATATGCAAACAACAGATCACATGGAAGAGTGTGGAAACCACAGTAATATAGACAGGATTTGTATGGACCACTCCAAGAAGAATCTTATGAAAAAAGAAAATTGTTTGGATACCTCATCAGAGCAGCAAATTATCATTAGAGTTAATGCAGAGTGAAAGGCTCTGCTGCTGAAATCAGTCAGTGACTGATACTGACACACCACTAAAAATTTTCAAAGAATGCAACAGGTATGGGAAGCAAACCAGACAAAGTTGATAGAACAGTGCCACTTACTTTGTTTACAATTTTTTTTATAATAGCTACACTTGACTGTGGCTATTTAATTACAGAAAGTAATTAAAGCCAAGTGGATGGTTCTGATTTTCATTTTCACTTTTTCTTTCCTATGTTCTTATAAAGCTGTCACTGTTTTAGCAGAAAACAAAAAAATTTTCATGCTTTGACTTCTCCTGAAAAGGTTATCACATTTATTCACCACTACTCCCCTTCACATGCATCTTTCACAGCTACAGTTTCATAGTTTCCAGCAAATGAAAACTTTCAACGTTTCTAAAAATAAGGGCTTACTTACTGAGCATTTGACATACAATCACAATTTGATAGCTGATGTCTAAAATTTCCTTCCTTCTGACAGCCAGCTTTTAAATAGCAGGATCTAATTTCCCCTTTAAAAAATACAGAGAGAAAAATGTCAGTTCAGTGATGCGACCATTTGTGTACACAAGAAATTTATAAAATACACACTTTAGGTCAGGCATATTTATAAATATACATTTTTCAGTTGGTGCTCATTTCAGATTTTAGAAAGCAAATTAACATTTGAATAACTGAAAACCTGAGACAAATCAAAACACAGAAGTCACAGCAAAAATTTAAAAGGCATGTAAATTAAGCACAAAATACATCAATTAATCTAAATTCACCTTAAAATGTGAAATCAGATTTTCCTCTTTCCATTCACAAAGGTGAGGTCAGGAGGTACAAAGCAGCAAAAAGTACTGCTAGAAGTGCAGCCACAACTCCTCCCTGTTTGCAGAGGCAGCACAAAGCCAAGGGTGGATGCTGGCTGACCCAGAGGCTGCGTCACCAGCCCCACTGGCAGCTGCTGCCCTTCTGTCCCCAGCACAGCAGCACTGCAGGCTGCCAGCAGAGCCAGGACGAACAGGCAGAAAACCAAAGTACCTCCAGGGTCACAGACCCAGTACCATGAGCATTCACTCCATGCTGGTTTTGGAGGCAACTTTAAAGGAAAATAGGGCTTTTGGGACAGCTGTCTTTCAGAGGTATGAGCCAGCACCTCACAGGGCACTACACAGGGCTCAAACCCATCCTACAGCTGCAGACTCTGAGAATAGCTTCAGAGCAGTAGCGTCCCAAGTATATGCACAGGACAAGACTTAGGTCACTCATTAATTTTTTTTAAAGCAGTAGCAATCACAACTCCAAATGACAGCAAGCACCACCATATCAAGAGACCAGTAATAACCAGCTGAAGAACAAAACTGTAAAAAAGGAGTCATATTTTGCCCAGTCAGGTCAGTGCAAGACTTCTGGTCAGGCAGAAAATGCCAGGGGTTCTTCTGAAGGGACAGAAGTTGTCTTCTGGCCTAGCCAGCATCTTTTGAGGATGATGTTTGGAAGATAAACTTCAGGCACTGTGTAAGGCTCAAGTCTGTGATGGTCATTGGTGGATTTGGAAAACTATTGCTCATCTGACTTTAAATTACTAAGCCCTTTTTTTCCCACACACACAGAAAAACATGCAACCAGTAACAGACAAGAGGAATATCCTTCCAGGACATCTGAAGTGTTTAGAAATTTCCTCATGCATTGCAATTATCCCAACTAGATAAACTCACCATTTTCATCTATGAACACATGCATTGCATCCACGGAGAGCTCATCTTGCACAGATGCCTCAGGTCCACTTATTACTTGCAAGACAGAACTGTCTTGCTGAGAAGTTACCCGGTAGATTATCTGCCTTTGCCTGCTGCCCTGGTAACTTGACACAAAAATGTTTCAAAACTACTATGAGGAACTTTTTTCTTGTTCTCAATAAAACAAAAAGAAAGAGAGGTTAATTAAAAGTTTATGTCATTTCTACTCAGTGAAACAAAACAGCTTACATCATATCTTTGAAGTACAAAATTGTAAAGTAAACTGGCCTTACAGTGCTGCAAATTTGGCAGACTCTGGTAGCACCGGACTAGTACTAGCACGATCTTGGCTTTGTACATCTGATCTTTCCTGTTTAGGAAGTTGCTCACAGTGCTTTTCTGTTCCCACCATTTCTTCTTTTCTCTCCGTCATCTGGCTATCTGGAAAACAGGGCAGTGAAGTGGAGCCACTCTCCACAGATGACTTTCAAGAGTTTCATTCATTAGCTACTGAACAAGAGCACCTAAAAATGAAAATCTAAATCACTGCAGTATTTGCCAGCTTTATGGAAAGCACTACCATTACTTAAAACAATACAACCACAAATCTGTTTGAGAAGGTACTCTAACCCTCATGAATGGACTTCACATTGTGTGAAGTGGAGGACAAACAAGAGAGGATTTCTGCTTTGCTGCCCCTATTGTTTCAGAGGGAAGCAATCTGTTCCTAATCTAGAATGGTAAGAGGTTGCTTTCCTGAGGGCTGTAATTTGTTCTCAAACTGTGTATACTGGCAGTGGAAAAGCAGAAGCATTGGCCCATTCCCCTTTCACAAAAGGGAAAGCAGCACCTTTAAAGAAAATAGAGCTCTTGGACAGGAAAGCAGATAGCTGCCTAATCCCTCTTCCCCATGGGCCACACACCTGGTGCAGGACAAAGGGCAAACTGGCAAAACAATTTCACAACATATTATCCAATGTTTGGAAAATACACAACTATAGATTTAAAAATACACATGAAGTATTTGTCCAATTTCTACTACTTTGAGTACCACTTATATTTATATTACCTCTCTACACATGCATGTCATTTATTCATATATATATGTCTACAACATATTTATGGTGAAGAGTGAAACATTTTTCTACAGTGCTTTGTTTATAAACCAAAACCAAACCAAAAAAATAACCTGTTAGGGTTTTAAAGTTCAACTAAGACAGTGATTTAATCAGCACCCTGTGCAGTCACCAAATTAAATGCTTTAAATGAAAGAAGGAGGTGCTTGTTGGAGATGCCTCAGCAAGTCCTGTAGCTTTTTGCACCAAGCAAAGTGTATTGAAACATACTTACCCAGACTTCTTACAATACCTGCTGTTTAAACACCTCAGATCAAGGAAAAAAACACAGACATTTCACCCCACTGAAAATTCCGTATCTTAAGCCATATTTCTCACCAATATAATTACAATCATAACCTGCAAGAATCACCAGTCAAGAAACAATGGTGTCAAATCTAAGTTGGTCTAAGGATAAAACAGAATGAAGGCTTGTAAAGAGACATTTTACCTTTTATAAGGTCAGCTGATAAAACTGAAAAAAATAAACAAGCTTTTGCATTTGCAGACCTTTCAGATCACCTGTCTCATTTTCCTCAAACTGTATCAGCTGATCTACAAACACATTATTTCTATAAACTAACCAAGCTCCATGAGCTAAAACATCTCTACACTAGTTTCAATTCACAGGACAAAACCCCCTCACACCCTAAAGCCTGTGCTATAAATACAATGGAACGAGCACAAGTTTGGTGTAGGAAAATACTTTGTTGTGCATGGAGGCAAAATTCAACAGGTCTTCCAGGTCTATTTTATTCTATCGCAGGGGTGGGGAAAGGCAGTTAGGGGAAGAGAGGACCATTTTTTCCTTTCCTAGTTAAAGATTTAAACTCCAGTTTAAGCAGAAACTGTGTCATTACTGAAGCACCCCCTTAATGATGTAACCATACCTGTGGGCGGTGATGGAGCCACAGATACCTAATCAAAATGACCTTCCTAAAGGCTTGGGCTGTTCAAGCTGTAAAAACAATTGATAGAGATCAGAAACTGTGGTTTAAATAACCTAATTGGTCCCATAGTGCCCCAAACTAGCTTTAGGGCTGGAACAATTAAAAAGATTTTTTAAAATCTGATTATCTAGTGGTTTCAGAATATGCTTCTCTCTTTTCCATTCCAAGCCACAAGCCTTGCAGACTTCTTTCCCTGCTGTGGTAAAGAGTCATACCAACAAAAACCTAAACATACTGCTTCTTACAGTCTTGATATGCCAATCAGACTACACCATAGTGATGAGTACTTCCAGCACTGGAAAAGTGGGCCATGAAAAGTGACTGACTTTCAAGATTATTACTCATCTTGTTCCAGGTGACTTACACCTTCAGTATTTAAATGAAGATAGAGGTGTCTAGACTAGGAGTGCCCTGCCAGAGTATGCAATCCAATCTGCTCTACGTCACCAAATGCTCCTTGCATGGAAGTTGTGCTGGCAAAGCTCAAACACCAGGAAAAACCTTTCCCAAGTGCAAGAGGGCACCATGGCAGTGTCCCTGTGCCATTTACCACTGCTCCACACATCTCCAGATCGTGCACAGCTGGGCTCACAGTAGTATCAAGATCAGACCTAGGCTCTGCAATAGCCACATAATTTATCTGGAAATTACATGCCACATGACTCAGACAGGTGAAGTGTAACTATCAGGACTCATGGCCAAATCAGTCTTGGGGCAGGGTGATTCAGAAGAGTCCTGCATAAACAGTCAAGTTTTGGTCTGTGCACCATTTTCATATCTCGATAGAGCACAAGACACAAGCTTAAGTTATTGTAGTAAATTAATTATGATAAGGAACAATTCTTATGTCCCATACATAAGATATTTTCAGTAAACATTTTTTCTGCACTAAAGACTTTTAACTGCATATCGACATTACAAGTATACCATCCCAGTGCTGAAAAATGAACTCCTACTTTAAAAGCAGTTACAGTACCATAATTTCTTTTGCCATGTGATTTTTTCACTTCTAGAACAGATTTTAAGCATCCCAGATCATCTTTATAGACAAACCCTTGCTCTTCTTTAGGACGAGGCTGTGAACAATTTTACAGCTGAAATGAAACAGCCTTTGTACATGTATCAATCCAGTGAATCTGGAGGAGGGCCACCAAGATGATCAGAGGGATGGAACCTCTCTCCTGTGAAAAAAGGGTGGGAGAGTTGGCTAAGATTTCAGCTTAGAGAAAGCTCCAGGGAGATCCAATTGCAGCCTTTCAGTACCTGAAGAGGGACCACAAGAAATCTGAAGAGGTGTACTTTTGAGTATGTCATGATAGAACAAGGAGAAACGTCTTCAAACTGAAAGACGACAGGTTTAGATTGGATATTTGAAAGAAATTCTTCACTGTGAGGGTGGTGAGGAACCGGTACAGTTTGCCCTGAGAAGCTACGGATGCCTCAATCCTGGAAGTGTTCAAGGCCAGGCTGGATGGGGCTCTGAGCAACCTGGTCTAGTGGAAGACTCCCTGCCCAAGGCAGGGGAGAAGTCCGGGCAGGTTTTTTAACCTTTTTTATTAAGGTCCCTTCCAACCTGAACCATTCTTTCATTCTGTGATACAATAATCACAATAACCACCAACCAGTGTATCTCAACCTTAAAGCTGCCTTACTATTAGATAATTAGAATGAACTTTTATTACTCTGTAACTTTGCTCCAAAACATTTTTACTATTTGTGGCCCCTTACCAGAGTCTTCCAAACTTTCCTTCTCATCTTTTATTTACATATCCCTATCCTAAGCTTCACAGCTCGCTCCTGTAAAACAAAATGCCACTGCTGTCATAGCTTCAAACACCATCTGGTTTGAAACCTGGGCAAGCAGAATTAAGCTAATTAAGTCTGCCTCTCTTCTGTTCATTAATTGCTTTGCTACAGAATCCACTTCAACAACATTATGCTCAAATAGAAACTTTCCCTTTACAATATATTTGCTGCCTGTTCAGCCACAAAAAAATTATTTCAAATCACTCTGATTTTGTGAGTACCAGCATGAAACCAAAATTCTACAAGCTGTGAACTGCGCCATTCATATATGTGGATTATAAATCCTAAGAACATTCCTAATCCTTTCTTCACCAACTGCTTTATCAGAAACATCTAGCTTATGCACTTTACTCTCAACCCAAATTTGCCTATTATACCACAAATACATTAAAAGAAAATACTGACATTTAAGCTAGTCTTCCACCAAACAACAGGCCTGCCCAGGGAATACCACACTGTCCAAGAATTGATACAAGAGCTCAGCACGGAGACTGAAGAAGCACACGTCATTGTCCATTAATGAGGATTGCCACATTAATCCTGAAGCAACAGGAAAAACCAGCAATAGACATTGTACCTGCTACAGGAAGTGACTTGCTCGAAATAATCTCCTGTGTCAGCAGCAGAGCTAGGAGTAAGTAGCCTAATCATTATACTTAGGAATTACATCAGAATACAGACCTCTGATATAACCTCATATTTTCTTTGCAGATGTCAGACTTGTCATCATACATACTACTACCTCTTCGACTTAAAGACTGAAATTTTAACATGTTAACCTGCCAAGCCTTCCACATTAAGCATCAGATTCAGAGAACTGAGTTCTGCACACCAGTTCCTCCACATCCAAAGAGTTGCACCACATGCCATGTGGCCCTTCTCTGGCACAAGAGTCAGGGATGATACACAGCTGCTCCAAGAGATGAGCTAGCACCAAGCAGGGCTTTATTTCCTAGGTGCTACCCACCTGCCAGCAAAATCACCTGCTGTCACTTCCCTCCACGACTGTCAACTGCACCAGTGACTCAGTGCACAAGATCCCACTTCCCCATGACTAGATGGCATGTGATAGTCCTCTTTCTCACATGCAAGGAGAAAGAAAAAAATAAAAAGTCTAAAAATACCCACAGGAGTATGTTTTAGTTTTTTATAGGAGAAGGGTAATTACTTGGGATCCAGAACAAGTCACTCGAGGTTGTGGTTTGTGCACTGCCCAGAATGATGAGTACCTATTCTAAAAAGAGCCTGCAAAACATCTGAATTCAGGCCATGCAGCCCTGGTTTAGTTTCTCCCGTGCCAGTCCCCACCACTCCCACGGCAGGCCTTGCTCCCCGGGTGATAATACTGCCTGTCCTAGATTACAATCCCGCTGTGCCTAAGGGGACATACAGGAGGTTTTGCCCTGCATGAGTCTGATCCATAACTTCTGTACTTGGTTCAAGACACATCAGAGGGATCCAAAGCAGCCAATAAACCCAGGTTTTCTTACACCTCTCAAATGACTGAAAAAAAATTGCAGTTGCCCTACAACACACTCTTCATGACGTGGGTGGTTCAAGTGTGATTCAAAACTGAAAGGACACTGCTCTGAGAGTCAGTTTTAGCATCAGTGTCAGTGGTATTTTCTCACAATCTAGAAGAGGTGGAGTGGCACTTAGAGCTTTTATATCCTGTATTTTAACAGGTTAAATCTGGCATCCTCAGAAGTGTAAAGAAAGGCTTTCATTTTCTCCAATTTTACCTCATTTTACCAAGCTGTCTACTGGCAAAGGCTTATGTGGTCAGGATGATAACTCCTCTACTTCCACAGAACACACAAGTTCTGTGAGGGACCACCCATAACGAAGACTCATCCATGCCATTCACTCACTTGCCAGACTGTTTTGATGAGCACATTTCCCCACCTTCCACAAAGTATGCAAAATATCAGTTTTCTTTCACACAGCTCTGAATCGTCAGCTTTCCAGGAATTTTCCAAATTTTTCACATTGCCTAATAAAAATCTTTCTGGGGTGCATTTCATGCTCATTTGGACCAGGCATCTATTGCTAACTTTTGCCAATTAGACGGTTTGAAAGGTTAAAAGAACAAAACCAAACAGAATTAACCTCCTCCCTCAAAACAACTGGTGCATAGCTTGACTCTGTATTCCCACACACACACTTTTCTTAACAACCACTCTAATGTGGGAATAATGTTTATTCAGATCTGTTCCAAGATACTGTATTATTAAAGCACAGTTGCAATTGCAAGGCTGTAAACAAATTAAAGGCTTTCTCATTCCTAAAATTCAGTCTTGCTAAGGGGAAGCTGCCAGTAATGACAGTAATTTATTTTAACAAACAGCACGTTCTGACTAGGCTGGAAAACAAAGCCTACTTGCTCTTAAAAATAACTGCCTTTGAACTACCTCTCCCAAATTCAAGGAGTTCAGATTGAATCTCCTTTTTCCCACAGCGCCAGTTCAAGGTGCAGAATTCACAGCTGCCATCCCTGCCCCTGCAGGGCATCCCCTTTCCAGTCCCTCTTCTGCTTCAGGATGACACTTGCTGAGCCCACACTGCATACAGAGACACTTAATTACACATATATGCAGCTCAACTTCACTATCTCACAAAAGTAGAGATTTAATAGAAATAGGAAGATTTAGAATAGATATTAGGAAGAAATTATTTACTGTGAGAGTGGTGGGGCACCAAAACAGGTTGCCCAGAAAAGCTATGGATATTCCATCCCTAGAGATGTTCAAGGCCAGGTTGGATGGGGCTTTGAGTATCCTGACCTAGTGGAAGGTGTCCCTGTCCATGTCAAGAGCTTGGAACTAGATGATCTTTAAGGTCTCTTCCAAACAAAACCATTCTATGCTTCTATGAAATTCAGTTCAAGTCATTAAATGAGAGCTTGGTTTGAGGGAAGAGGAGAATTCTTCTGTTTCCTCATGATCTTGTATAAGTGTCCTGTTCACCAGATCTAAAGCACAGTAACTGCACACACAATAATAAGTTTTGAGGTTGGGGTTTGGGTTTTGTTTTCACTGTGGAATCTGAGTCTGACTTATTTTGATCATCCATTGCTTTCTTTCATGCAGCAACCTTCCCTGTTCATATTATCTGAGGATACTTGTCTGAAAGGCCATTCTAGATTAGCTGCACTCTCTCTTTTTTAATTTTCATTTAAATTTACCTCTGAAATTCTCTTTTCCACCTAAGTCACATCACTCAGAAGTACAATTATTGTGTAAACACTCCTTTTTATGGCTGAGGAAACAGAAAAACATCACAATCTGCTTGCTGCACTGTTCACGTTGCTGTGTGCTGCTGTGCAGGTAGGTGACTCTGCACCCCAGGAATCCAGCAGGGCTCAGCAGGCTCAAGTGAGAAGCAGGGCTTGCTCAGCACTTGTCTTGGGCAATCAGAGCACAGACTGGAGCCAGAAGGGCAGGCTGATAAACTCGATAGAGAAGGACAGAAACTGCAGTGAAGAATAAACAGCCAGAGAAGGCAGGAGAGATGGGTAAGATACACCAAAAGAGAGGTGGCACGTCTAGGAAGAGCAAAATTCACTTCTGCTGTACCACCCTCCTCTCAATTCCCTCATCAGACGGAACTGAGAGGAGGGTAAGTACAGGAGAAGTGAATTCAAGCTGTGGGGAGGCAACAGCTTTAGGTGGGCTCAACAGAGTAGAAAAGCCTAAACCAGCAACAGTGTGGATTGCTAGGAAGAACAGAAGGAAAGAAAGTGTACCAATAAGAAGAGGAAGACAAATAAGTAGGTGGCACAGAAGGGGAGTGCCTAAATGGAGGAAGGAAAGGCACAGAACTAGAAAAAGTTCTAGAAAGAAGAAAAAATGAACCCAGGTGAAAGATGGAATGAGATAGGGATGTAATACATTAGCTAGGACAGACTTAGAGACAGACAGAGTGAAAGGTAAATGGAATCTAAAAGAAAATGACACATTGAGAAGATAATTCTACTTATTTTTTTGACAAGATAAAAGCACACATTTCACAATAGTTTTTAAAAACCTTCTAAGTCAGTTGGGCGTTTTTCATGTAATGGAAGGCTCATGCAACAACAAGCTGGTGGAACAGGGAGCAGACAACATAGGACTACCAAGCTGTTCTTCTAGAGTACCATCAAGTTCCTTATCTTCCATGCAAATTAAGTACTGAGAGTGCATCCTCTTAGGCTTTATTAAAACAGCTTATTATAGGATCTAAGGTAAAACAAATGTTTTGGAGAAGGGGAAGATACAGGTTGTCTCATTTCACTTTGAGTCAGATCTTCTAAACCAGCTGTGCTGACCACTTGGGGAAGTACCATGAGATTGCATCTGCCTTCACTGCACTGTATCTCACATCCTCATTAAATGGCCCTACTAATTTTGCTGGAAGGCCACTAGAGACACTATAAACAAGTCCTTCCCAACAGAAAAAGGTCCTAGAGTTCACTGACAGCAACAACAATGCTGATTAAAACCAGAAATTTCTATACAAAAGCTCTAAGTTGTACTGCATATACGTAATGGAAAAGTGCATGGGAATATATTATTTTTCATTAAAATACTGGGGGCTTTCACTGAAAACAGCCACCAAACTTTCATCCTTAAAATGAAAATATTTTAAGTGACTGAAAATAAAAACTCTTATCTATTGAGAAGAGGTACATGACTTCTCCTTTTTTTTTAAATTATAAGCCAACCCACAACTATCCAGGAAATTTAGAAATATATGTATGTGTGTGCACACGTGTTAGCTAAAAGCAGAACCACATCCAGTGACAATTTCAGCTTTCATAGGCAGAGTCACACAGACAACTCCTCAACGAGCACCTGGTAAGATGTGCAAGGGCAGGTGCAATGCTATAGCTATATATATTTTTGCAAGATACTTCTGGTATTCCAAAAATCCAGGCACACTATTTTAGTACAGAATACTACATACATAATGGATACCTACAAAGCTTATCACTAGGTTTGTTAGAGGAAGGAAAATAATTTTCTTCAAGAAGATAAAAATATTTTAAAACTGCAGCTGACACTATCACACACACTCACTAAACCACTTTGCCCCACTGAGTCCAGCCCTACCCTGGCCCTATTAGCAAAACCAGTCATCCTCTGGGAATTAGCATTACTGCAGATATCCAGCTAAGTAATCAAATTCTTCACAATATCTTTATTCCAAAAGAATTGTAACCCATGCATAATACCTCCAACAAGCCCATTTTCCTTTGTCGTCTCTGTTTTGACAGTGGATTGATTAGATGTCTTCATCTTTGAGGTATTAATGGATTCCAAGAGGGAGACAAATTCTAGAAAGTTAGATTCATTGGGCATCTGACCTTCTTTAGCTTCTAGATCTGATTTAGAGGTTGGTAAGGTCTTTTCTTTGTCAGATACCTCCACAAAATTCTTACTTAAAAGCACATCTGTCCCACTGTCTACACTCAACACCCGCATATGCCTCTTTTCATGGGCAGTTCTACAGGACTGTGGGTCTAGGTTATGCAGGTCTTCCTTAGAACTTAAATCCACAGTCTGGATATTTTCCAAAGCGTTCTCCTGATTTGGATCTGAACAAGTGTTAGTTTCTAGAGGTGTATTTGCTGGGTTGCTGAGCTCCTTTACTGCATCACCCGATTCATAGCCAGAGCACTGGTTGGATGACAACTCTGCCCTCAACATTTCTGGAGTTCTGTCACTTTCACTAACTTCTGAGCAAGGCTTAGCTTTACTGTCCTCAGACAGGTCAAACGTGATAACAGGGATTTTGAGCTGTTCATTAGTTTGCTGACTTGACCAGCCTGCTCTAACTACACCAGAGTCAAGGGCTGAGCTTGTTCTCTCACTTTCCAGGGCCTGTAAAGGCACAGAGCCTGGTAGGTCACTGAGGGTGGTGTTTGGTGTAGTACTCATTGTGATGACAATTTTGATGGGCTCGCACAGCTGGTCTCCAGGAAGAGAATTATCCACAACTACAACAGCAGTCTCACTGTCTGAGCAATCAAGGTCCTCATGGCTATTACCAGCATTGCAAGAACTTTCCATCTGCTCACACTCTTTGGTTGCAACGGCATTGCACTGTGGGTAGTTACTGGTAAAGCCTGTCTCTGGCGATCCATCTGGCAATTTCTCTCTTTTGTAGCTTTTAGGATTACTTAAATAGTCTGAAATAACTGAATTTTCACTGTCCCATGGCTCTGATGAAACTCCGGTCCTTAAAATATCACCTTGTGATGAAGAAATATTGGAGAAGTTTTTAGCTATGTCTCTGTCCACAAGAATATCTTGGGATCCACGGTGGCCACAAGGCTGTCCATTCACTCCTTTTTCATTTACTCCATCACCAGGAAATGTTTCCATAACAGCTGGTTTTGTTGCTATTGCTGATGTGGTGGCACCTGAACCAGAGGTTGTAGAAACAGGTAATATATCTGCTTTGATACAGGGTGAGGTAGATGAAACTGGTGGTGTAGCCTGGTCTTCTAGTACCATAACACCTAAGAAAAAACATTTTGGCATTAGGTCTCACATGAACACTAAGCATTTTTAAACTATGATCTTTAACCAAGAAAACCTGATCCAGAGCAAAGCAAAGGAAGCACAGATGACATAGCTGATTAAAACAGTTCCAAAACAAGGAGGGGTTTTTTTGGTAGCTACATATGAAGTACTACAAAAGCAAGATAGAACCCTTCCAAGTCAGGACAAGTTTAGCAGCATGTCTATTTAAATAATCAAAATAGCTGAGGAAACAGCTAGTTTCAAAATCAAAATGTTTTACAGAACTATCCCCACTTAGGGAGAGGTGAAAGAAAGAATAAACCAATGCTGCAGGTTGCTACATCACTTTCTACATTTCCTAAATGGTCACACAGGATATGGTGATCAGCCATAATAAAAACAAAGCAGTATTTAAAATATTAAGACATCTCAAGCACTGGAAGTGTAAGGCAAATTAAGGTGTACTGGAATATACAACACAGACCTAAAGGTTGACAATCACAATAGAAGTTTACAGCCAGATGTTCAAGGGCTCTGAGATTCAATTTAAGTGGCAGCTTCCTACTTTGATGCTTTACAGAAGCATTCCCAAGAATGTGAGGCAAGGATCTTTCATCTCCCTGTATCAAAATGGGAAGAACTATTTGCACACCCCTCAAAAGGTTGCATTCCAAACAGCTTGGCTGACAGCTGAGAAAGCTTAGTCTGTTAGAACATCCTTGAAATTTAGTTCTGGCTCTTCAATTCACACCCTAATAGGAGGCACAACAGAATCGGCCATGGGGTCCTCTATGGCATTACTCTTTATGCCAAGCAATGATTAAACAACAGTTTAAGGGGATTCATAAAGCCTTTAAAATACCTCTAAGATCTTCAATAGTTTCCCTTGTTGGCAGATCCTAAAAAAAAAAGAAACACACAAGGTTAACATGGTCATTTATTAAAACTGCAATTGGATGTGATGTTTGGGGAAGGAAAAGAAAAGCAAGATGTTCTTAAAAAAAAAAATTGCAGTGCCTAATCCAGATACTTTCTTTTTTTAATCATTAAGGAATAGAATGTGTTCATATGTTCCTCTTTTCCAGCTATGTGTTTCCGAAGCACTAAAATGAAAAGTTTGGCCTCTAGCATTGGTAAGTATTTCTCAATGGAAAACTAGAGGACAGAGACATTAAATTAATATAGAATCATTTAGATTCCAAGAAAGCCTTGAAGGTCATTTAGTCCAAATCCCCTCTGCCATACACACACACACTCAAAGCAGATACAGTTTGAGCAGATTGCTCAGGACCATCTCCAACAGAGCTTTGAAAACCTCCAAAGAAGGAGATTTCACAACTTCTCCGGAAAACCTCTTCCAGTATTTGACCACTCACTTGGTATGGGGAAAAACCAAACAACATACCAATCACCAAGAAACAAAACAACCCCACACAAAAGACATTAAATGTAATTGATCTAACTAGCTTTCCAAGGCTGCAACTGTTTCTTATCCTGTCACTGGGCACCTCTGAGAAGAGTGTATTCAATCTGCTGGGTATCTTACTATTAGAAAGCTGAAGGCAGCAGTAAGCTCTTCTAGGCTTACAAATGAATTCAGTCTTACAAAGGCTAAAACATCCCATCTGCCTGTCCTCACACATCATGTTCCTCAGTCACCTTGGTGGTTTCTGCTGGGTTCTCATCAGCAGGTCAGTGTGCATGGGAACTAACTGGGGAGCTCAAAACTAAATACTCCAGAGGAATACTTCAGGAGTTCAAATTCAACAGCCTAAGTGCATAATTAAGAACAAGACATTGAAAAAGATGACTGTGGCTCTCTTCTGACTGACAGGCACAAAAACCAAGAGGAAATTATTTTTATTTTCTAAAATTTAATGGTGGTATCTTGGTAACTAGAACAGGAGACTTGGTTTGACAAAACCCAACCTACATGTTTTGAAGTGGGAGAGTAGGATGAGATCCCAGGAAGACATAGGTTTGGAGAATGGACAAATACCAGAATACTGGAGAGTAGGACAGAAACAAGGTGAAAAATATCTTACCTCACTGAAAAAAACAAACCAAAAGAACTATTAATGTCTGTGAATCACACAGATGCTACAAAAAGGTAAAAACACTCCAGGAAATGAAGATATAGTTCTGATTCAGAACAGGATTTGAATTATTTGTATTAAATAGGGATAAAGGGTGGGTTTGGAGGACTATGAAGACAGAATGAAGTATCAAATAGCCACTTATTCAGAAATCACTAACCATCCTCTGCACTGACTGAGGCAGGAGTCCTGTAGAAAAAAATAGCATGGCATCATATAATTAAAGATGTTATCACAGTATGCAAGGGGAGTAGCTTAAGACTACACAGACAGTGTTATTCTGTTTCTTAGCTTTTTGAAAACTTCTTCATCTTGAGTGTTTCCTATTTTTTTTTCTTTAACAACACTTACGTACATCATCTTCACTTCATATACCTTTGATTTATTAAGCATAGCCAACGGCGTTGAGTGCACATACACACAATTTTAACCTCCCCTAGACATCTCCGAGATTTAAATGGCTTTTATGCTTTGTTTAAATACTGAAGAGATGTTTTTGGTTTATTTTATACACGTAAGTCTAGTTACACAAAACCGAATTATTAATGCTCCAGGAGCAGATCCCTTGAGAGGCAACAAAATAATTCTGATTGCATTAGCCTCTCCCTCCTCTCAAAGGAGCCCCAAAAGCTATTGCTCTTGGCAAGATTTATGAAGGCCACTTGCTCTCTTATATTGCTATCTATAGAGCAGAGAGAGCCCTCCTAAGAAGTGCAGCATTACGTATGGCAATTTCAGCTCTGCAAAGCCAAACCTTCAGGACAAGGCTGACTGGCAGTCATATCCAGTAGATGCATTGAATGACCCTTCCTGCTTGGAAGCTATGAGCACCTGGCAACACAAAACCGCTGTGTGTAGTGAGCTGTGGACTGCACGAGGTGAGGACACTGCTGGAGGAGTGCACATACTAACCGTGGCTCCAGGTGAGTCCTGCGAGTGCGGAGCCTGCACTCTGGAGCTGTCGGGAATTGTCTGCGTAGAGTCATTTTGGCTGGTCTCACCGACGACATGATCCCCCGAGTTATTGCTGAAGGAGAAGCACATGAAAGATAAAGCAATGCTTCTTACCACAGGGCATCACAGTGAGTTTTGGGAAGTAGCTGATGAATAAGAACAAAATGGTAAGAAGTAGCACAGCAAAATGAAGTAACAGCACTTCTTTCCCCTCCAATGATGAAAGCATAAGGGCTGTAAAAATACTGCACTTCTTTCCTCACCAAGGAAACTGCTGCCCGACCTCTGAATCGGGTGCAGCTCTGCCTGCTTCAGCACAAGAACATTTCAGCTAACCAGCTGAAAAGCACTAAGCAAGTTTTTGAAAGCATCATTCTTCACACAGCTGTAAGGAGTATTCTTGCATTCAACAGACATTTCTGCTATGAAGGACCATCGTGCAAACTCACCCATTTTACATAATGCGCCAGCAATACAATGGAAACCTTACCTACAGTTTGAGGACTGAACCACTTCTCCTTTTTGAACCTCTGTATCTTTACACTGCCTTCCATTTTTTCTTGAGAGCTTTTGTTGAATTACTTCGCCTTTATCAAACATAAGGTGCAAACGGTAGCTGATCACCTTTATTACCGTGAAGAAAACTGTCACCGAGCTGCAGTACACAAAAACAGTCACTGCATTTGCTGGAAAAGCCTACAGAAAGAAATAATGAAGACACAATGATAACAGTTAGCTTTGAGAAGATGCTGCTAAAATTTTTACATACAATATCTGTATTGAGTTCTGCTCACAGAAAAAGTTTAAGGGTTTCTTCAAGTTTCAAACCATTTTACAAGATCTATTCCTCTTTTTATTAGCTGTGGATATTATTTATTATCAAAATCAGCAAAATCTTACCATTGACAAACATTATATTTAAAATACTGCACCTCCATGTTAGTGCAGCTGCAGCCTTCCCTAAACTATGAATTCAAAAAATACAGACACAAAATGAAACATTAGTTATCTACAAACAGAAAACCTTTAGAAAAATTCTGTCATCTTAACCCTGTAGGTCAGTTAAATATTGCATACAGTAAAACACTGTAGTTTGATGTCCACTTTCTAATGCCTCACATGTTCCCAAATACCTTAACCACTGAGGAATTTTAAATAATTAGTCAAGACTAGTCAAAACAAATTAATAAAAACGCAGTTAGAAAGGCATCCTGTCCTGGCTGAGGCTGGAGGAGTGAGTGATTGGCTGTGTGTTGCCAGCTGGGGTTAAACTATGACACAACCTCTTTGAATTATTTTTCTAAAGTACATAATTGTTAATTCGCAGCTGTCTGTGATCTGTTTGCTGATCTGTGATGAGCACTACAGCTCTTAGTCATTAAAATTAATTACAGTTCAACTATAATCTGTAAAGTTCTTCCACAGACATGACATACTAACAACTTTTTTATATGCAAACACTTCCTTACAGTAAAGGGCAAATCATAGCAATGGAAACTTGCAGTTATAATTGAAGTACCAAAGTCTCTACCATTGTAGTCATGGAACATGCTTAGGTGTTGTCATTGCATAGCTGCAGTCTCTCAGTGAGTTTAATCTCTTTTCAAGTTTTAGGCGTTTTATTTAAACAGAGCTTTACCATATTCTTGCAGAAGAGCAACAAAAAACCCCAATCAACACAAAAAACAAAGAAGGTTTTCAATACTCAGGACTTGCTAAAAGCCTACTGAAAGTAATCTTTGAGAATTATTTTTACTTTAGGACTAAATCAATCATTTTTTCAAATTCAGAAATAAATCACACTGACCACACAGGTAAAGGGAAGGAAACAAGGCATGCCTATTTCATCTTTAGGACAAGTCACCACATTTATCTTGATGTTGAAATTAATACGTTGAATCATTTCTGTGTTGTGACAAGCAAGTGGGATGCAATTCTGATGCTGCTTTTGGCTCACTGGGACTTCATACCATCAAGATGTACACGTGAATATTTTCAAGCGAATCCTTTTTTATGACTGTTCTGATTCAGATACAAAGAATCTATTGCACAATAGTGGGGGAACTATTTAGGATGTGCATACTACCACTGATCCCTAATAAGACAGACATGACTTTCTACAAGTTGAGGCTTAAGTCTGCTCAGAGTACTTCACAGTACTGTGTAAATACCAACTCTCAGCATACCCTTCAGTTATTTAGAGAACTCGGGCCAGAGAGGATCCATTTGCAAGGTCATGTTCTCAGGGTATAAGGCTTAGTGGATGAGGTTGAAGAACTGGAGATTAAAGAATTTGTGGTTTATGACTAATGTTTTTACAAAACGAGTAAGAAATTGCTTGGTTTCACAAAGAGCGACAGCCAATTATCTGTAATAACTTGTTTAAGAGAGATTTGTTTACCTTCTAAGGAATCTCTTCAACTAGACACTAAAATGCACAGATCAACCACTCATTATTAAATAACAACACAGAACAGCCCACTAGAAAAGAAGTGCTTTATAGGTGACATTCATAAAGCTTAATGAATATTATATGAATAATGTCAAGAGGACACAACAAAAATAGATTTCCAGTAGCGCAGCCTATGCATGCAGACAGCATGCTACAAGAGAGATTCAAAGGAAGCTCCCAGATTTTTGAGTGGAAAACAGGGCCAGTTTTAGCAAATGCTGAGTGCTGCATGTCCTCATCCCTGCCTCATGACCAGACCTACCAGAGGTGTGCCCTGAGCCAGCCCATGGTCTCCGTGCCCCTCTGTCCAAGGTATGCTGTGTTTTAGCGCCCTTACACACCAAGACTGCCAATGGCCAGTGCATCGTTAATACTCTGAATCTTGGGGCAGGCTGAGTGCTACAAGCCAGCAGGTTGCTCCCTGTCCACATGAGGAATGAGGAGAAAGATGAAGCTGATAATGGAAAGCCCTCCATTCTGTGAATCAGGCCTCTTGCATAAGGTACCAGTGTCATACGACTGCAGTTGGTGCTCCCAGGTACAGACAGGTGAAAGCTATCAAATCCACACTAAGGAGGAATTAATTTATAGACCACTGAGGAATTAGATGATAGGGTCATTTTTGATGCACTATAGTTATAATTAGCCTGGTTTTCTATGAAAATGAGGTTCTATAATCACATCATGTATCTGTGCCTATTCATCATCTCCCTCCATCCCCACAGTTGAAAGGTAGCCAAAGAATTAAAAAGTTATTCAGCAAACTTTAAGAGAATGCGCCCCATTGGGCAAGGTCACAGCAGCACACCTCCTCCATTAATGAGAGGAACTCACACAAGCTCTCTGACCTTTTGATGCCACCCCAGTGACAGGAACAGCTTCAACTGAGCTGACATCTTATTAGAAGCTAGGAAAATAAAATCCATAAATACAAATCCATTAGAAAGTGGGATTCATGATTTCCCACAGGTTCCTATGGAAGCTGTAGCCCTAGTTTTCTTCATTCTTGTCTCATTGAAAACTCTACCATAATGTACATTTTGTTCTCTAGTAGCTTCTGTTGTTGTACCAGGCACCAGAATAGCGTGGGGTCACAGCCAGAAATGCAGGCTGATGTACCCCAAATGCAACCCAACTCATTGCTGCAAATGCAACAGAGTTGACATCACCACATAAGGAGCACCTCTGCTTGGGGCTTCTGCCTGCCCAGAGACTGTTCCCAGAAGAACAGCCACATTCTCCTTCACATGTCTACTGACATTATTTGAGTAGCACAAAGGTGGAGGTGACTGAGATACGTACATAAAGGTATGTAACCTTTGAACAAAATACCACGCCTTGTAAATTGGGCTTAATGATAAAGGGTGCTTAGACCCAGATGTATCCCACCCACTGTTTGAGCCCCTGAGGCATCTAAAGCAAGGCACTGCTGCACCTGGGTCAGGGACCTACCATTCAAATGTGCAGTCAGCCACTACCATCAGAGATATGCGTGGGAGACATGACACTGTGGCCAAAGATCCATATGTAACTGGGTAGCCTATCTCTCTGCTGCGGAGATACATGTATCCTTAACTTTGTTACAGAGTGGGGTAAAGGGTGGCCAAGTGGGACTGGAAGCAGCTGACACACTGCTAGTTTTATCACAGCTTACCTCTGAGTAATTTATGTACCCACACCCTTATACTGCCATGTTGTAATTCTCCTATCACAGCATGATTTGAAGATCTAGTGTGTAAGAAGTAAGTTCAAGGGTTCCCTGTCCAGCAAAAGGCAGGAGAAAAATTCAGTACATTGTTTTGGGCCATTGCCTAAACATGATGCACATTCTCTTGCAGCTTATAAAATAAGCTATAGTAGAAGTATTTCCCAAAGTTGCATCTCCAGGTCACTGATGTTTTTCTGGGGCTGAATTCAGCCTGGGAGCTGAATACTAAAGAGTTATCACTATTTTCATGTGCAAAACATGTAGGGATCCTCAACTGTTTGGTGGAATAAGGTAACTTTAATTCTTAATATATTATGAAAGTTGATATGGCACAGTTAGAAGAGATCTCATTATAATTTTGAAAGTTGATTTGAATAGCAATGATGCTCAAAATATCCAATGTACATTTTTAATGTTTAAATGATTAAGTAAATAAAGTAATGGAAACAGAGATATGCATTTTCAGGGGCAGGGAAGCTAATAAAGGAATCCTTAGTACCAAAGTAAGCTATGCTGAATAAGCTAGAGAAAGAAATTCTCCATCCACACAACAGAAACAACTTGATACTTTAAGCTTCTCAATGCTACCGTCAGCACGCCTCTGCTGAGCCACTGTGAAAAAACTAAAAACAGATGGATGAGTTTTGCTATTTGATTCAAATCACACTGTTTCAGAGAGACTTCCTAACTTCAACAAAATATTACCCCAAGCAAATGAAAAATTTAAAGAAGTACTCTGGTCTGTTTTGATTTTGCCATTTTAAGAAACATCATTGACTGCTTTAGCTGAATCCAAAATATTGGTGTCAAGTACGTAACATAAATATCAACCCAGACACTATTGAATATTATAAACAAAATTTCTTATAAAGCAGAAAAAAACCTTTGGTTAAAGAGCAGGCTGAAGTTTCTAAGTAGCAAGAATAGATGTCTTGCATAAAGTTTACAAAGCCTTAGAAACAAGCCACTTGAAAACAAGAAAACGTGTACGGACATAATTACTGTCAGGCAGCCATCATAATAAACACATTATTCTTATCAAGGACAAAGAATTCCCATAGCAATATGTTAGCTCAAGAACACAAGACCTGCATTTAACCAGATGATTCATCAGAAAGTCAGTCAGTCTGCAGAAAAAGCAAGTCCATCTAGTTAGGCAAAGACGATGCCCAAGAGAGTTCAGTAGATAAGTTACATTTTCTCCCCTTTAAAAAATGACTTCTACCTTAGCTCTGACCTACAGTCCAGTGTTGTTTCATGCAACCCCCACACCTTCTTCAGTCCAGAAGTTTCCCACAAGGAATCCTTTCAGATACATACTTATACCAACTGGGACAAAAAAGTTAGCCTTCAATTTTTTTTTTTACTTTTTAATCACACATATGACTTGAACAGCAAATACTCCAATGCAAGACTCTTGCTGGTTTGCATAGGAAATATGTTATTCTGGTTCATTAACTCCATGAGCCATTCTTACAGGAGGAATTCACTGCAATCCGTGCCACAAAATCCAATACCAAATCACACTTAAAAACACAAGATTTGCTTTCCACTGGGATTGCAGGGGGAGTCATAAATGCTCTTTGCTTTTGATAATCAGGCCCATAGCTGACAATGT